GGAAATATTTCTGAGAGCTAAGTAGTAATGTAATCGAAGAAGTTTGTATATTTTTTTTTGTATTGACAATTTTGTAAATCTTTCTCGTTTAGCTAGTTTTGTAATCTGTAAAGCAACCTTAGATTATCTTGACTACTTCATCGTACTATATCATATTTTATGATATTAAAATCCATGATTTATCGGATTTCGATTTTATAACAATAATAAACATTAATTTGCATAAAACATGGTCTATAATGTAATAGAATAGGTGTAATAGCATGTCATCTGCATACGAAATACATTTATAATTGGTGATATCAATATGTCATTTACATATATTAGAAACAAAATGGGTCCTAGTATACTTCCCTGTGGGACGGCCGTTTTATTTTCGGGAGTACTTAAAAAATCAGATACTATTTCCTTATTTATTGCATTATTTACTGTAACATTATCAAGTGTTTCCCAATAAAAATTCATGCGATGTGTATGAATATAAGTAAAACAAGAGATATTTCTTATTAAATGCAGTAATTTAGTTTATTTTTTGGAATTTAATTTTACAATTTTTTCAACTTTGTTATAACCATTTTTAACATTTTAGATTATGTCGTATAAATATTTTTAATATTTTATAAGTGTAATAGCGATCTGTCTTCAGAAATGTTTTTGTAATTCAAATAATATCAGCGTTCTTATCTACTTGACGTTATAATAGATCTTGGTTTGTACAACATCTAGTTACCTTTTTAGAATATAGATCTTAGTCTATTTTTCTCTATTGATTGTAGCGATTCGTTTATTAATTAACGATTATTACACCAAATACTAATTCTAGTATAATATCGACTCAAGCTATCGTTAGCAAATTGTGATTTATATATTATGGTAATAACTTATTTGCTTTACAACGCCTAATAATACTCAATACGCGTTATCAAGCAAACCTAATTTACTATTTATCCATTTTATATTATTGTTTTATTTGTTCAATAAAGTAGATATCCATCCCGAAAATTGGTTTCGTTTCAAATTACAATCGTTAATTTGATTCCAGTTAGTCGAAAATCTGATCTGTAATAGACTCGTAAACCTTCTTGTGAATAGAATAATTGTAACAGTTTTTTGTTTATAAAATATCTAGTTACCATTCAAAAAGTATTTATTTCAGAAGAGCATTGTTTTCATTAGTGCGAGGTATTATTTTCAATTTTGGAACAATCATTGATAAATACATAGAAAAAAATAAACATCAAGGTCTTATTAAAAAAAAATATATATATGATGGTTATATTTAGTACACGCTCGAATAAAAACTTTATCTTCGAAATTAGTTAGTTGTTTTAGAATAGAGGTTATTAAAAAATAAGGTTTTGTTTATTCTTAAAGAAATAATGGCGTCAAGATTTTATATTTCTATACTAATATTATAAAGTTTTTTGTTGTTAGATAGAAATAATGATCCGCTTCTGAAAATTCTTTCACTTACGAGAAGCTACATCACACACGAATGACCATGGCTATAATTTACGCAGGCGAAGTCACGGGGAAAACAGCTGTTGTAAATATAAATATCCGCTTGACTGACCTTTCTATCAGTATTACAGTCCATTCTACATAGAATTTTACGTTTCAATGAATATATCCAGAAACAATTATTATGAAATTCTAAAGACCGAGACCGAAGCGTCTAGACATCTTGTCCCATTTAAATAAAATGAAACATTTTAATAACAATGGTGCCATCAATATTTTCATTTCAAACAACAGTTGCTATTTTTTTGACTTCAATTGAAGTTTTTTTTTTAATATTTAACCGCTTTTGTAAGCATTTAGAACTTTTTTGATTTTTCTAAAGTCAGTTTGAAACACTCAGACGAGTCTCTTGTCAATTTGAATCACTAAAAACAAAACCTTTTTTTATTGAATAACAAGGTTTTAATATGCTATGTCTTCCAGTTGATAAAAAAAAATCTGCGCCAAGCCTCTTAAAGATTTTAAGACAGACCTTTCTAGAAAATTTTCATTTTAAACAACAGTTGCTATTTTTTTTTTGAGCTTCAATTGAAGTTTTTTTTTTTATATTTAACCGCTTTTGTAAGTACTTAGAACTTTTTTGATTTTTCTAAAATCAGTTTGAAACACTCAGACGAGTCTCTTGTCAATTTGAATCACTAAAAACAAAACCTTTTTTTATTGAATAACAAGGTTTTAATATGCTGTCTTCCAGTTGATAAAAAAAATCTGCGCCAAGCCTCTTAAAGATTTTAAGACAGACATTTCTAGAAAAATATCATTCAAGGTGAAAGTTTTAATAAACAGAAGAATAATAATTGATTTTAGAACATAGATTTTAAATACCGTAAACAAAGGTCAATGAATTTGTGAGCCTGACAATTCTTATTTAGAATTTATATTTCGTCTTTTAAGAGATCCCTTAACACCGTTTTATTTATTACCTTACATTAGCTACATATATATTATTCAGTTACTACCCTTGCCCGATGAAATTATTACCTTACTTAAATTTTAGACGAGTTAATAGCCCACCTCACAAGCTATGTTAGCCCTCGCATCCGTAACGGAAGGAAGCATACAGATGGATTGTACAAATAGAACTTACTGCATGGCCCCCTGAAGGGCTATAGGTAGTAGTGATGTGCCACATTGCCAAAAATATCCACGGACACATATCTAAATACGAAAATTGGTGTCGGTTCGAACCTGGATCTTTATTTACTTTTGTCAATCGCTGTCGGTGCACGAGACTTTGAAATGAGAGTTGACGTTATGCCCGCCACAACGATAGGCACGATATTTATTTATATAATCTTTTTTGCTTATAAAATAGCAAATGGCTGATTAAATGAATAAGAAAAAGGCATTCTCTACCAGTCAAACCGTAACCAAAGTTTACAGTAACTGCAAAAGGCAGTATCAGTGAAACAAAAGGATAACCTAGTTAAATAATATCAACATACATGTCAAAACATATAAAAATGATATATAGATGCACAAATATATATGTATACTATGAAAAACGAATTTATTGAAGATAATATTCTTACACTGCTCTTCTAAATGCCAATACGTTCAAGCATTCCGAATCTGTAAAGGAAGTATATTCCTGAATCAAATGGCTGTAAGGGTGAAGGATCTAAAGATCTTGCGGAGTAAGGATCATATTAATTTGATTATACAGAAGACATTCCAACACTTTGGATAAATAAGGGAGAATGGATATAGGATGAAATTCGTTAAAACTTTAGGTATAGGGATAATATGAGCGTCTTGCCATGCTGACAGAAAAATTGAATTGGAAATAGAACTATTGAAAAGAAAGATAAGGATGGAAAGGATAAGGTGAGGTTGGCATAGTGTATGATCACATAATTATATGACAAACATGTGGCCGCATCCACATTAAGTCTAGAAATTAGCCTGGGTCTGCCGATAATAATGGCCTGACCTTTGTTCTGAAACTCTTTGACCAGTCCCAAATTCGAGAAAAAATTCAGTTTAGCTGCAAAATAACCCTGTCTAAATTTTCAAGTTTATCTTGTGCAATCGCAAGTAATCAGCGTACATATGATAGGCGTATATAAAGAGTAGGTGAGAGAAAACTGTTAAATAAGGAAAAAATAATGGGAGAATAAACGCCATCTTGAAGCACACCAGCAATTAAGCCAACCGAATCAAAAGAGAACAAGAGAGAAGATAAGAAGAGAACCGAGCGAAAACAGAAGATGAGCATCCGAGTTGAACAAAAAGAGCGATATTGTTGTGATTTGTAAAGAAGTGAAATTTAAGGTTAAATATATTATTATCTTTAAATATATATTTTTGTGAGATGTTACTTATCTTTTATTAACAGTAAATGGCATTAAATAATTTAATTTATCTAAAAAAAATGTCACTTGTTCGGAATCGGGTGTTGTGTTGACTGACTTAATAAGAAATACTGATCTGACAAATCCTGCTGTAAATTAGTTCCTAATTTAAGAGGTATTATTATTCAAGACTTTGTTGCGTGAAGACCTGTATGTATGTATATGTTAAGTATCGATGAACCATGAGCAGTATGAGGAGAGTGTGATTTAATTTAGAAATTTTATTACAGTATGTTTCTAATATAAAACTACAAAATGTTTTATTTTAAGAAATAAAAAGTACTGTGAATGGATTTTAATAGTTTTTTTTTTATTACACTTATATAGCATTCCATCCTATCAATTGAAAGAGTCTCGAGAATAGTAACGGATACGGATTCGGATATCCAGAGCATCACTAATAGATAGAAGGCGGTGTGGTCACGCTTGCGAGACACGAGTATATTTTAGGCTAACACTATAATGATAGCGGAATATCAATCATTAGCGGAAAATATCTAACCGAATCTAAAACCTATAGAAGCAAAAACCTTTAAGTCCTTTTTACCAATATTCCACCAACGTATTTTGAAATCTAAGTACAACAGAAGTTATGTGGAGGAGTGCGAAATAATGATATTTTTTTATAATTATAATTAACTACACTAAACTAATTAAAAAACTATATATTTACCAACTCATACTGGTAAATCCTAAGAAAATCTTAGGTTTCACTAGTAAATAATAGGAGTTACCAATATAAGTTGTTAAATATAAGAATTTTATAAAAAGTGTTTAATATTAGAGTTTGGAAAATGCTAATTTCGACCAATAATGGCTAGTATGCCTAATGTATTGAAAATAAAACCACAAGTATTTCTTAATCTTAAATTTCAATATACTATCACTAAAAGCCTTCCACAATGTAATATATCATTATAATGAAAAATTTTTATACCTACTACTTTTGTACAGCATGCATATGCGTGCTCAGTGTCGGGAAAGTGAACCAACTGAGTTTTTTCTATAATAATCAAACATTTTGAATATTAAATCAATAACATATTTTTTGTGAATGAAAGATGAGATTTTATTTTTAATGTTTTTCTTTAATGTAAATATTCAATATTTTTTTCTTTGTTTCAGTTCCCCCTAACAAAACATTCATATCTGGAGTAGGAGAACACGCTACCCAGGGCACATTACTGACTCTAATGTGCACAGCATCCGGCGCGCGTCCACCAGCCAAGATAGAATGGTTCAACGGCACTGAGAAAATGGAGACCGAACGATATAATATCTATGTAAGTACCGAGCATTGTTCTGTTTATCTCAAGAACCGAAGTACCCAATATTTTTTTAAATATTTTTTTAACACCATTGCTCGTAAAGCTGATGTAATTCCACCGGTTTTAAATATGTAAAGCGAGTCATAAAAAACGCGTGTTTACCAAAGCAAATGGTTAAGTTATAGTCCATACAAATTCCATAACAGTATTATTTGCCATTTCGCGCGCTGTTGCTATTCAAATTTCGAACTAATCGCCGCGCGGCGCCACTCAGTAGGCAGCGCTAGCGCGCTGTTAAAATGGCGGGAAAGCAACAGTGTACATTCACAGATTGAGTTTATTTAATGATTTTTTTTTCTGTTTCCTCGCAAATATGTTAAAAAACGTCTTACGATATACGTGCGTTTTGTTTATAACATGCTCGGCTCAATTACGCCCTCGCCTTCGGCTCGGGCTGAAATTCCACCTCGCATGTTATAACCATCATAACGCACTAATATCGTAATGTACTATTATTTTATAGTTATACATGAAGTATATCTAAAAAATATTACTCGATTTTCAAAATTTCTCACTTCTGTCATGGCGTCGTTATGACGTCACGGCACTCTGAAACAAATAACGTTCTATGCAAGCATAAGGTTGAATCTTTAAGTTCTGATATGAGTAAGAAGAAGGTTTGCTGTCAATAGACAACGAACATATAATAATTGTTTTTCTTATAATCAGTTTAAACAATATTATACCTAAATATAATAAGCATGAGTTTTAATATTGGTAATAGTATATTAAGCACTACCATAAAAATAATAATATGTATTTATTTCTGTTTACTGTGTACACCCGTATTTATTATCTAATACATTACTTTCGAAAGTATCTTTAAAAACGTGAATATATTTATGATCCAGTCATATAGGTGACATCAGAGAATCGTTACTATGTGAATCTAATAATAATAATCTATTTTATAATATAACTTTCAAAGGTATAGTGGTAGTAATTTATGGATTTAACCTTTAAAGCCGCGATTGCTTTTGCAACGAATGATGATTTTGATAAAACTTCCAATATTTAATTGTATCAGCACTGAAAGGTACTGGCTCCCGTAATACAGTTCAAATTGTATGGGAGAGAGGACACAAAGAATATTGTATTGGAAATAAAGTCATTAACATTATTATAATAAAAAGTTACTTTAATCCGTCGAAAGATTGCATTTAACATACAACTCTGTTGATATTTTGGCGTTTGATATTTTTCAATAACTTTAAAAAAATTGCTTCTGACCTAAGACTTTTACAATTAACGTTAAAATAATGATATCGTATATTTGATATCTATCAAAAAAACATTGCAATAGCTATCAAATGTCAAATAATTAGTGAATATCTTTCAAATGTCAAATTGGATTGATGTTAAAATTGGACAGTTAGCCCCCTGTTTAATTATACTGCTAGTTGTAGGTCGCTTTACTTCTCATCGCATCTTTTTACTGGCCATCTCTTTAAGTGTATGTTTATGTAAATCAAATCTAATGCAGTAGACTATTAACGCCCAGTTGCACTAACGTCCATTAAGGTTTAATAACGACTTTAAGCTCTAATGATTCTAACTTTAAAAATCGCTTTATACTAATAGAAATCTTAATGCATACGGACAGTAAATATATAATTTTCTTCTTTCCCTGCTCCTATTATTTGGAGCCGGGTCTGTCTTCTCGTATATTTTCGTCACTCGATTCTGTCCTGGGTTGTCTCTAAGCACTTGTGATTGCTAAATATATTAATATGTATTTGTTGGCGGGTGGTCAGGAGGGGCTATTACGAAGCCCAAATAGATCGTCCATATCGGAGGACTATCTTTAAAATAACACTGCAGGCGTGTATACCAACGTGGATTTGTTCCATTTTATCACTTTTCATACAAAAATATAACGAGATGAGCATGATGTCGTAGGATGTCTTTACTTCTCGGCGATTGGAAACAGAATGTGTGCCAAAATGACGGCAACTTGCTTTTTGTTAACGAACTGTCAAAGTCAGTGTCACCATTCTAATAAAATTAAAAGTATCGACGATCACGCTCTCTCTACAATCGAGTAATTAAGTAATCGAGTAGCTAGCAATTAAAATAAAAGAAACTAAATCAAACGATCTTCGTAACGGTGATGGAGATATTCTGCGACATATTGATATATTTATTAGAGGCGCATGAGGAAACAGGACATTTTTATTATTATTTGCCTGTTCAAAGGAAACGAAATCAATGAACTTATCAAAATTGGATTATTCGATTTCACAAACGATGTTCATTTATTATCATATTCAAATGGATGACGTCTTCTGGATTTTCAAGGAATACGTTGCCTGTATTATTTCATAATGTACAAATAATAATTATTTTTATATGCCGATTTCAATTAGCTCGGTGGCGTAGTGGATAAGCGCCGCGGCCCGCGATCGTTGTCGTTAAGCAACTTTCGCAAGGGTCGGTCACGGGATGGATGACCAAAAAAAAAATTATCTCGAGCTACTCCGTGCTTCGGAAGGCACGTTAAGCTGTTGGTCTCGGCTGCATTTGCAGTCGTTAATACCCTCCAATCCGCATTGGGCCAGCGTGGAGGGTCATGGCCCGTCCTCCTTAACCATCCTTAAGGAAGGCCTGAGCCCCTGCAGTGGGGACGTAAAAGGGCTGATGATGATGATGATGATTCCAATAAAATCAAGAATATTAATTATGTTCGCACCCGAACTTATATAAAGCCAAAAGAACTCAACTATTCTGTTAAAAGAACAGTTTAGAGCGTCGAGCACAGCGCTGTCGTATCATAGAGCTTCAATGAAGAAATAAAACCTATATTTCCTTTTTTGAGTAGATTCTACTTCAATGACGATTTGTATCATAAAAAATAGTACTGAATCAGTAAGAGGAATAAAACATTAACTATGATAAGACATATTACCGTTACCAATCAGAATAGAGAAAAATATGCGAGTTAAATAAAAGACAAGTTAACATTATTGCTTTACTTTAACGAACACGACATTAAATTAAATGTACAGGTTCTTGTACATTAATTATCTTTCTTATCTCATATTTTTCGTTTCTTATCTCTTCATTACAAACTTATTACAGTGAAATAAAGCAAATTTGAACTCCACAAAATCACGTAAGCGAAATCACGCCAAAAGGAAAACCATTCAAACCGTAAAAATAAAAAAGCAGTTAGAGTTATTTATTTGTTAACAATGTTTCTAAAGTAAAAGATTCATTGTAAGCTATATGCATTCATAAATAGGCGAGCCACGTCGCCTCAATAACCGGCAGAGAGGGAAATTTACGTAATAACGAAGATTATGTCGAAGGGTCGTTTACACCTTACGATCGAAACAAATTATATAACATCTTGCAAATTTGTCACGATTAAAGTACCTAAATTTACGTTGTATCATAAAGAAGGAATCTGAATAATATATAAACTCATGAAAAAAATTGTGAAATAACGATGACGTATTAGTTCTTTACGATAATAGTTTTGAAAACATATTAATAACATTGTTTTCATCCAGGAACCATTTTCTTTCGAAAACTCATCAATTACAATTCTTTTGAAATATCATAAAAAATTTAAAATTGGTTTAAAGGCGAAAAAATGTATTTCTAAATGTAGTAGTACATTTCTAAAGGTATGTAAAAAATACTTCGCATAGACTTTTGCTCCTCGTATCATTTCTTTTTAATAATCAAAATAAAACCTAAACTATCTCCTCCTCTAAATTATCTTCATACTAAATCTATTTAAATCAGTTCAGAAGTTCAACCGTGAAAGCATGATATAATTTTAGTTCTTTTTTTTAAACAACAATTTAAGACAGATTCAGAAAATCGTGTCGTTTTAAGATATTCCATGGAAAAAATCGTATCAATCGTGTCGTGTCATATAAAAGCATCAAATGTCCGGAATCCTTCGTTATTTCAAAGCGCGGATAGTCTACGTGATTTAGTTAACTTGCTAATGTTTAATGAAGACGGATGCGCGCGACTGTACGCGGTTCCTTTGAAGTAAACTTTCAAAGGGCGCGCTGTCTAGTATTGTTTCGCCGTGTTAGTATTTGGATTAGATGTATCCTTGGTTGAGACGCGAGGATTAATATCAAAATAGGCTAAATTGTTAGTAATTAATTCGCTCGTTTCAAAATATAGTTGTCTGTACTATTATATACAGTGTGAGCTTGGCGGTAATGGATGGAGGTTTAAATTGATATCCACTGTTGCTAGATCGCATGTGGATACCTTAATTTCTACAACCGGTTCTTGAAAATTTTCCAGTTAACATTATTTATTATTAATTATATTTAGAAACAATCATTAAATATTTTTATTTCTTTACAAGACCGATAAATTGTTGTATATATTTTTTGAAGATATTATTTATTTTTCAATATATTATACTAGGCTTCCGCTAGCGTCTTCGCTGGATTAAACAACACTTTTATCCCTATAAAACCAATCGTATAGTAGAATAAAAAGTAGCATACATGTTGTTTTAGAATTTACCTTGTACCAAATTACATCGAAATCCGTTCAGCAGTTTGTATGTGAAAAAATATTGGGTTGGCACAAAAGTAATGAGACACACTAGAAAAATCTATAACATTTCCTTTTTAAAATCAATTTTTTCGATAACATTCTAGAATGTTGTAGAACATTCTAGGTACTTCTGGTGTAGGGTATATAAAGCCGCGCTCGCGATTTGTTTAGTCAGTTTGAAGAAAAATGGACGAGCGACAAGTTCGAACACTATACTTATACGAGTACTTGTTAGGCCACAGTGCGCGGGCTGCGGCTGACAATATCAACAATGCATTAGGCGCTGGAAGTACAAGCCATGCGACGGTGTCCCGATGGTTTGACCGTTTTAAATCAGGAGACAGGAGCCTTGAAAGTCAGCCACGCTCAGGGCGACCACCCGCAGTGAATGATGACGATTTGCGCCGCGAACTGCAGTTGAA